ACGCAGTCCTGAAGAAACGAGTCTGTCAATCTCGACGATGATATCAAAGCGCATCGCTCCAAGTGGCTTCCTAATAATCGGAATGGAAGAGCGTTCCAGACGGCCGCAGAAGCGCATCTGAAAGCGCCGCGATGCGGCAACCACCGTCTTTGTTCGATGGCTTGGCAGCCAAAAGCTGCCGCCGCCGCTGCCGCTACTGCTGCTACTGCCGCTACTGCCGCTACTGCCGCTACTGCCGCTACTGCCGCTACTGCCGCGAGGCTGCGAGGCTGCGAGGCTGCGAGGCTGACCGCAGATCGCGCGACGATGGTTCACACCTCCACGACGAGAGAGCGGCGGCGAGGCATCGCGGTTCATTTGCGGCGAGCACATCGGCGTGTGCAATGGACGAGCGCGACGTGAGAGCAACGTTTCTCGTCCGGCAAATGGAACGACGGTGGCGTTCGGGGTGTTGGAAACTAAAAACGCCGATCCTCACTCGGCACGAGGGGAACGGGGATGCCGACAGCCCAGCCGATCCCACAGCAGCCTGGGCCGGGAAGGACACTGCCAAACAAAAAGGGTCTCCCACCCCCAGAGGAGTCAAAGGTTGGAAGAAGGTGGGGGACGGGGAAGCGAGACCCTACACCTCGACTCCGGGTGACAACACTGAAGATGCAAGCGGTGGGAAGAAATGTCATCTAATGTGTACAGCAGCCCTGGGAGGCAGTGGAGGAAATTCCACCTTGCTATGGCGAGCTGGGGGGGGGGGGGGGGGGTGAGTCACCGGGTTCGAACAGAGGACCGTGACCGGGGGTTCGAACAGAGGGGTCCGACCGTCGTGCCACCGCTCCCACCCCACGCGGGTTTAATATCGCGCTTTCAAAATTAAAAACCGGACACGCGCGACATTCCCCCCCCCCCCCCATCGCTCGTGTACAAAGACACGAGCTCACACACACGCAGCAGCGTATAGACGGACACGTTCGAGTGTCCACGCACGCACGCACACAAACACACGGTAATCAAGACTTAGATCCCTCCCCCCCCCCCCCCCCCCATGTAGCCTTTAGCAGACCGCTGGGGGCAAGTGCTGCTAGCATGCATTGAACTTGGCGTGCATCCACGTGTATGTGCGCACGCGCGTTTATGCGAGCGTGCACTTGTTATACACAAACCAACCAAGCGACCAGAGTTCGATTCCCTGCTGAGATGTGAACCAGCTCTGGGCCTCCCCTAGGTCGACTCGGCCCCAAATCAGTACCTGGTGCGGTTGTATAAACTTCGCCATTGGGGAGACAAAGGCGGCCGGGTGCGGTGCTCGCCACTCACCCCCTCGTGTGCCGTGCCGGCCTTCATAAAGGAGTTACTCGCTAACAACACTTGCCTCAACAGTCTGCCAAGGCTACACGGGGATCTTTGTCTTTGTACGCGTGCCCGTGTGCGTGTACTTGAACGTGCGCGCGCCGCACGAGAGAGACCTACCCTTGACCTTGCCAAACGTGCCGACCCCGAGCGTGTCGCCGAGGCTGTAGTGGCCGATCTTGTACCGCGCTTCCCGCCGGCCGTGGCCCCCGCTCCCGACGCCCTTGCCGGGCAGCGCCGGGGCGAGCGGCGGCGTCGAAGACATCGCCAGCGGCGCAGCCGTCGTCGCCGTCCCTCCTCCTCCCCCATGGCCCTTCCTGCCCACCATGGGTGGTTGATGGGCAGACATAGCCACGCGTGCACACACACGCGTACGGACGCCTCCTACAACCTCCTGTACAGACACACACGCGCGCGCACAAACACAAGCAGGTATTCACGAACCGACCACGCACTCAAGGTCCACGCGCACACACAGAGAGGAATGACGAACGGGCACAGGCCGGACGCCGACCACACCGACGCACAGGCAGAGAGCGGCACGCACGGCACGAGCTCAGCAAGAAACAAAATCCGCTGCGCAGAAGTACAGCCAGAAAATATCATCGACCACATACCGACACCGCGCACCCATCCTCCCACCACTAGCACACCCAGGCCAAGCATCCACCCTCCCACCCAAAAACTCACTCACTTACTCCAACCCACCCACCCTCCCTCCCACCCAATAACCCACTCACCACCACCCAATAACCCACTCACTCACCACCATCCACTCACTCACCACCACCCACCACCACATAACCCACTCACCACCACCCACCCACTAACCCATCCATAACCCACCCACCCACCCACCTCACTCTCCCACGGCACCCCATAACCCACCCACCCACCCATTTCATTCACCCTCTAACCCAATACCCCACCTCGCTTACCCATAGAAAGGAAGGCAAAGATCCCTCCCCCCGTATAGCCTTCACCGACTTTTGGGGGCAAGTGCTGTTAGCGAGCACCTATGATGGGAGGCCGGAACGGCACAAGACGGGGCTGGGTTTGGCCAGCCTCAACGTACGTACATCCGCGTGGTGATCTTTACACACACACACCGCACCAGGTACAACCTCCATACAAAAACACCCCCACTAATAGACCAATCCACACACGACTCCATAATCATAAACCCACCCACCACCTCACCCACTCACACACCACCCCCCACCCACGTCTGCAAAACACATCCCGCGACCCGCAGCCACAACCCACCTCGTTCGCAAACGCCACCCACCATCTCCCCCCCCCCCAAACCACTCAAACGTGTCACCCGCGGGGAACGACACAGGTGGTGGCGGCATTTGCAGCTTGTTGCAGCAGTTCACATTCCCCCGCCTGGTCTACAGGAGGTCGTGGGTTCAATTCCGACCCCGACGATACCTGCTGCTGCTGTAGATTTGGAGTTTGCGTCTCTCTCATCACCACAGTGGCTAGGAGATGTTAACTACCTCGCTTGGTCTACAGGAGGTCGTGGGTTCAATTCCGACCCCGACGATACCTGCTGCTGCTGTAGATTTGGAGTTTGCGTCTCTCTCATCACCACAGTGGCTAGGAGATGTTAACTACCTCGCTTGGTCTACAGGAGGTCGTGGGTTCAATTCCGACACCGACGATGCCTGCTGCTACTGCTGTAGATTTGGAATGTGCGTCTCTCTCTCATCGATCACAGTGGCTAGGAGATGTTAACTACCTCGCCTGGTATGCAAGAGGTTGTGGGCTCCATCCCCACTCTGACGATGCCTGTTGCTGCTGTATATTTGGAGCTTGCGTCTCTCGCTCTCTCCCCGTAGATTTTCAGTTGTTTCCCTCCTCCACATTTAGAAAATCAACATCACGCGTTTAGAGCATTTGGCTGCTGTACATTGCCACGTGATAACGAAACTGCTGAGCCATCATTTGTGGCCAGGTTGCTTCTGAAAAATCAGGGGAGCTACATATCTAAGTGGGGCTTTACCAGAGAGAAAAAAAAATTGTTTCAACTCGGCGGCTGCCCTGGTTAATACCGCGGCGTTCACGAACCGCAAGGCGGCGCCGTCGTCCGCTACAGAGCGGACATTAAAGACCCACGTGGTGTCAGAATCCAAATTTGGAAAACTAAACACCGCACGACATTTACTCCGTTGGGAATCACACAGCAGCAGCAGCAGCATCGATCCCCACCACTGCCAAAACTTGGCAGGACCCTCCTGACAAGAGCCGTGAGACTCTGAATAGGAGTATTAAATAAAATAAAAACCCACCCCTCACCACCAACCACACAGCCGCCTCCTCACACACCCACCAAAGACACACACTGCGACTCCCCACAACCACCCGCACAGAGCTCACAACCCACGCTGGAGCTCACCCATGACCCACATTTTGACGCAGCCACTCGCAACCACCAAAACACCGCCCCCCGCCCCATTCGCCCACCACGCGTTGCTGGCCCATACACCCGGCCAACGCCAACTGTTAACAAGCAAGCCATGGATGCACATGGGCTCTTCACGGGCTGACAACTCCGCCCGTACAACCACACACAGCTCCACAACGCTGCACACACGACTCCTGGGGCTCGAGTGCGGTGAGCGAGCGTCTACCAAGACCGGCGCGTCACACCGAGCGGTGTTACTGACACGCGGAGCTCCGCTCGTTGTTGTGAGCGTCGCTCCTCCGCCCTCAGTTGCTGTTGGAGGGCGACTGCCCCCAACTGCCCTGTAGAGTCCTTCACGAGCCTCCTCCAGAGGCCGATCTTGACACCGCTGGTACCGGTCATCGGCAAGTCCACTCGGCTCCACATCCTTGTGAACCGCATCATTTTTAGCTGCATGACCAACGCAGCTAAAAATGCAACTTTGCTTGCCGGAGGAGCTCGCCGATGATGGGACCGTGTCCAGATCTCTCACGGATCTGCGAGCTCCTCTAAACCAGCCAAGTGGGACACGCACGCGCACACACATGCCACCGCACACACGCAAAAGGTCGCCATCTAAATTTGAATTAGCACCGTCTAGAATCGTGCGACACACACACACACGAGACATCTACCTCCATTTGTAAAATGGAAATTATTTTCTCACCAACCCAAGAGTTTCCAATTTAGGCGAAAACGACAATACAAACGGCGCGTCATTAAGCGCCGGTCGGTCACATCACATGGCAATTCAAGGTCTTTGGCCGTGGTCACCTCAACGGACACAAATTTGGACCGGATAATTTTACGTGGCCCAAAAACAGGGGGGGGGGGGGGGGGGGGAAACAATAAAAACATTTCAAACGAATTATTTCGGCCGCTAAAACCTACGACTACCCACTACGCGCAGGGTTGTTATTATTCTTACAAGCTGCTCGGCTTGCGATAATCGGACGACATCGCACGTTATCCACAGTCAAAGGCCACGCAAGTTCACACCGCAGGAGCCAATTGGGGAGGGGGGGAAGGGAAAATAACAAAAGCACGCAACACTGGGCCACACGTTTCACATTAGACACGGCAGAGGCGCAGCGGCGCCCTTGCGCAACAGCAGATCGCCCGCCCCGCTCACCCACCCCGCTCGCCTGCCCAGAGTTCACCCCACGCCGAGTTGGCCGTCCCCGTCGCACCTGCACGCTAAATAAAGGCAGCCGCTGTTATTGTTGTTGCTACCGCGAGGGGTAGGGGGCGGCTGCAATGGTCGCAGTGGGGCAATGGTGGAGACAACGCCACTTGAACGCGATTCCACAACAGCAAGGTCAGACCGGGGCTCGCGTAGACCTGTCACACAAACACACGAGACAAAGATACACCCCCCCGCCGCCCTCCCCATACAGCCGCAACAGGACGTCAGGGCAAGCGTTGTCACCACTGTTCGTTGCAAACTCCGAGCCTGCACACGGGCAAAGACACAGACATTCACACGGGCGCAGGCAAAGACCCCCAGTAGAGCCTTCAGACTGTTGGGGCAAGGGCTGTTAGCGAGCACCTATGAAGGCCGGCAAAGGCACACCGAGGGGGTGGGTGGCCAGCACCAGGCCCGACCGCCTTTGTAGAGTACCCAGCGGCGATGCTTACGCACCGGGTACTCGTTTGAGGCTCCGTCAACAGAGCCGAGGTCCAAGACCGGTCCAGACATTGGTCACCAACTTTTGGGTGGGAATCCGACTTGGGTCGCCGGGTTCATAGCGCAGCGCACACAAACGCACGCACACACACACACACGCGCATTGTACGCACGCAAGTATTTGTGCGCGCGTTTGAGAGAGCGAGTGTGCGCGTGCATGGGCTTATGTGGGCGCGTGGGGAGCGGTGGTGCAGCGGTTAGCGCGCTGCGCTACAAACCCGGCGACCCGAGTTCGATTCCCGCTCACGGCCAACACCACCAGTGACGATTATCTGAACCGGTCACGGGCCTCCCGTAGGTCGACTCAGCCTCAAATGAGTACCTGGTGCGGTGTGTAAACATCGCCACTGGGAGACAAAGGCGGTCGGGCGTGGTGCTGGACACCCACCCCCTCGTGTACCGTTCAGGCCTTCATTAGATGCTCGCTAACAGCACTTGCCCCTACAGCCTATTAAGGCTACACGGGGGATGTTTGTCTTTATCTTTGATGTGGGCGTGGAACCGGCTAAACCACGCCCTGCCGTGCCGACCTTAAACTAGGTGCTCGCTAACAGCACTTGCCGACTGCCCGTTAAAGCTACACACGTGCCAGTGCACGTGTGTGCGCGCGCACGTGTGGACAATACGTGCACACGCCAGCGTGCACTATTTATAGCACGGCACGAGCAGCATGCAGTGCCGCATGTACCCACACCACACACGATCCAGGTCAACGGAGGGCATCTTTAGTAGCGGGCAACAAACAAGACCGCGGAAACCGCGGTGAACCTCGCAATTACGCGGGGTAACGAACAAGTGCGTGGAGGCGGTGCGGAGAGCCTCGGAATCACATCCCCCGTGTAGCCTCCACGCACTGCCGGGGCAAGTGCCGGTAGCAAGCAGCACCTGCGAGGTGGTGGGGGTCGGCACCGCGTCCCGGCCGCCTTTGTCTCCCCGGTGGCGACGTTCACCGCACACGGCACCGGCACTCATTGGAGGCAGAGTCGGCTCAGGACCGGCTCAGATCATCGTTAGCGGGGTGGTGGGAGCGAGCGGGAATGGAACTTGGGGGTCACCGGGTGATTTTTAAAGTTTAAAGTTTCATTTATTAGGTATAGAGCCCTGTGAGCCATTCGGCTCTTGAATCGGGTGCAACCGCAGCAAACAAAAAACAAAAACATGAACAAGAAAACATCTTAAAGTGACTATGTGCAAATAGAAAATCCAAGAAAAGACGGCAAAATATTGCAGAAAAATCACCGTACACCAACCCTGTGCAAATATCCCAGTGGGATGCAAGTCAGACAACAACAACCACAAGAGAACTTAGATTATTTGCGGAGCGTGCCAAGCGCTGCACCAGCACTCGCCACGTGAAGGAGAGAACGCACGCACACACGTTATTGACATTGAACGGACTTGGGCTCGGGCAGGGACGATGGACTTTTGGCGAGACTGGCATAAATAAATAAATAAACGTGGCAGGACGTGGAGATGACTTTTAAAAAAAATTAATTTGGAGTAAACACGGAGCAGCCCTCGCGAAGGGGACGTGTGCTTGTTCTGGATTATGATTTATTATTAGGCCGGCACTCCGGCAGGATTAGGTTCAAGACGCTTTTCAAATGTCAAAGGTCGCCACCGAGTCGAGGAGGGGTGCATGGTCGCGTCTCCCCACGCACCAAACAAACCTCTCATTACTCACCGACCCTCGGGGTCTTTCGCTAAAATCACGAAGGTTAAAGTAAAATAACTAAATCACGCCGTTTCCGAGGCAACAAGCCTCCGACATCAGGTGGAACAACCGCAGCAACACTGTTTTACTCTAGTGGGCAGAGAGCTGTATGTGACAAGCGATTATGTAGGGTAAGAGCCAGGGAGGAGGGATGCAGGGGAGGGGGGGGGGGAGTCGGGGGTTAAGATGTTGTCGTTAGTTTCTGTAGCTCCGAGGCTATTGGGATCTCATATTAATAACATCCTTCTCGTGTGCGGTAGGTAGTGGCTGGTGAGATACCTGGCATTGCACACCGAGAAAAGCCAGGGTGCATGCTTGGCCATCGGGCGCTATTATTAATTTCAAATTACACATTGGAGCAGCATTCATCATTTATCAATAAAAAAATTGGAACCAGTTTCCTGGCTTACTACCGCACACCATCTCCTCCCGCGAGCGACATTCTCCCCGCGACTTTATTTCCTCTTCAAGATCAGCGGCACGGTTTCCAAGAGTGGGCAGGCAGATCGTAAAACATCCTGCCAAGGTTGACAGCGCCGGTGCAAGTTTAAAATCACGGACTACGACGCTCAGGGTTCCGCCGGTCGATCGACCGACGTACAGGCGACCAAGGTTGGTCCCCGCTGATATTTAAAAACAATGGGGTGGTTAACAGCAGCGTTAAGAAAACGTAACGGCAACACCGCAATGACCCAGGGTACACGGTTGGGTGCGACTGCTCCAGCGCGGGAAATTAAGTTTCAGTTTTCGGTTTTCATTTATTAGGATTTACCTTGCGAACCATTCGGCTCTTGATTTGGGTTCAACCGCAACAAACAATAAAATTACAAGACACACCGAAAGTTCATTGTACACTAATCTGAACATTGCGTGCGTAAACAATAAAATCCTACAGAAAAATCAACACCCGTCCATGCTGCGTACAGAAAGTTCAAAACATTCCATTTCGATGTTTGATCCCAATAGCAATACAGATCAAAATTATAAGTATAAATCTGTACTAAATAAAAAAAAATCGGGCCAAACCAAGCCCCTCTAAAACTTACTAAAACAATGCTATATAAACAACGTAACAGTTTTCCCAACAAATGTGATTAAAAGTTTACAATAGCGACACACACACACACACATCACTAAAACTAGCATCCTTCACGAGCTGCATAAGTCAATCCGTAACAGCCGGATTAACAACAACAACAACGCCACGTGGTTTCACCCACAAAACAAGACGCGGATCGAATAAAGGCAAAGCAAGTTGACTCTCAATGGGAGCAGTCGTGGATCTAGGATACGCAATTCTGCCAAACGCGGTGATGCACGGCCCTCATTCCAAAGACAAGCAGAATGGTTCCTGGCCATTCCTTACGAAGCAAAGCAAAGCGAGTTTAACACGTGGCAGGCTTTCGCGACCAATATTATTCATAATAAAAAAGGTTTTTGGTTTAGATCGCCATTCTGGCAAATTGCCCGATGATGCTGGATGAAATTACCAGCGAAACGTCGTACTACTCAAAAACTGTAAATGTTGTGGTTTCACGCTTCAACACCCCGGGGCTAAAGTATTGAACTATTTTGTCCGATTGGCCGTGTCGGGTGGTGGAGGGTTACGACACATTGTGTTTTGAGATCTAACCCAAAACACCTTTATTATGAATCAAAGCCAAGCGGCATCTCTTCACTTAGTCAACCTAAACATAGACAAAGGACCCCCGAAAGCATTACACTATTGGGGCAAGTGCTACTCACAAGCAGTGCCTATGAAGGCCGGCACGGTACGAGGGGCTGGGTGGCTTTTACACACCGCGCCAGATACTCATTTGAGGCCCAGCCGACCTAGGGGAGGCCCAAGACCGGTTCATGCAATCGTCACCTGGTGTTGGCCGCGAGCGGGAATCGAACTCGGGTCGCCAGATTCGTAGCGGTGCGCTCACCACGACACAATCGCTGCAGAGCCCACGTCACCCAACGCTCGTATCCCTCCACCGGCTCTCCCCAATAGAACAAGCCCAAGCTCACGGCCTCCCCCTTTAAATCTTCCCGAGCGCACCGACTGTTTCTGTACAGCGGCTTGCGAGGCGACCGCTTTTGTACTTGTGTATGCAGAGCTTCTTTCGCACCGTACGTAACCAACCGTGCGAAACCGGAGGTGCGGGAGAAGGTAAACAAAAAGCAGTTCTAAAGAACTGGAGTTTTCAATCAAGACTTTTTAACAGTCCATAGCTCCAATGGCCTCCTAATATGGGAAGGAAGAACGTTCCAGACGGCCGCAGAAGCGCATCCGAAAGCTGTCTCAAAAAAAATGCAAACTGTACCCAAAGTGGGTCGCAAACGAACACCCATGGACTTGCCACAGACCCATGGACTCGTGCAGAGAGGCCAATGAGCTCACAGAGACCCGTAGAATCGCACAGAGCCACAGCCTGACAGGGTCTTACCACCGACCTCGTAACTAAATCAAACGCGCCCCGTGTTTGTGTGTGGCGTCTTGAGATGCGGTTGTATTTATACACCGTGTAAATACGAAGCCTTTGCGATTTCCCTCCGGGGCAAACCTCTACATGGTCACGATACGAGGGGAGTGGGGGGGGAGGTCACCGTTCAGTGGACGTAGCGACCTCTCGCGGCTGCAGGGGTCGTGGTCAAACAAAACCGCACCCGCTCCGGAGCACAAATGGCATCAATTCTCACAGGCACGTTGAGCTCAGACAATCTGATGTGAAACTGCATCAAGCATCGCCAGGACGCGACCCAGGACGGCGGAAACAAGCCAGGAAGTCCGAATGACTTGCGATTTATTTCTTATTATTTCTGGACTGAGAAAAAATAAATTATTTGAGGACAAAAGATTTTTTTTCACGACTGAATTTTTTTTTCAGGACTGAATTTTTTTTTTCAGGACTGAATTTTTTTTTCAGGACTGAAAAAAAAATCGTTCAAACCAAAATATGAACCATGCATCACGTCAGCTGCAGGAGATCTACACTTTAGGACAAATCCCCCGTTCGCTCATAGCTTTGGGGTTCACCTAAAGTGGGTTCTCATTTATTTCATGTCCAAAAATTGTGGCGTTTGCCACAATGCAAGGGCATGCGATACGGCACACACCAATCAGCAACTCAAATCCCAAAGCAATTGGGACTCCAGCAAAGTGGTCTCCCACTAATCCCCCCCCCCCCGCTCCTTAGGCAGAAGTACAAGGACTAAGCAAAGCCTCCACAATGCTGCACAAGCTGTTCCAAGGGTGTGAAACACCAACTCCCAACACGCCAAATAAACAACGCGACATTCAAGTACAGCGGTACCTCGGTACACGAGCGCTTTGGAATACGTCGAATTTGGTAGACGTCGTGTTTGGACGAGAAAAAATGTCTTAGGATACGACGTCTTGCTTGGGATACAACGCGCTTGCTAGAACTTGCATGGGTCGGGATGAGTCACCGCGTACCCGCGTAGACCCCCCCCCCCCCCCCCCCGTTCACGACTGAAACAAAGCGCCGCTCCTCAGTCTGCCTGTAGATCTCGTTCAGTGCACAACCCTTGCTACAACTGTGAATTTTCACGTGTTTTTTTGTCATTTTAACGTGAATTTTCAGCAAGGTAAAGTGATGTAAAAAAAAATTTGTGCATTTATTTTAGTACTAAGTAGTGTCTCAATTATTTTAGACAACCCCATTAATGTATAATATGCCACATAAAATATCATTTATTACGCTCTAGAACGGATCATTTCCTTTCCCTTAATGTCTTATGGGAAAAATGTGTTTGGTGTACGTCATTTTCGTTACAAGTCCTCCTACCTTCTGGAATGAATTAACGACGTAGACCGAGGTACCACTGCAATTCACTCATTCCTTCTTACCGCATGAAAACAGCGGGCGGCAGCCACTCACCAGGAACAAACACAAAGACAAAGATCCCCCGCGTAGCCTTAACAGACTGTAGGGGCAAGTGCTGTTAGCGAGCACCTACGAAGGCCAGAACGGCACACGAGGGAGTGGGTGGCCAGCACCACGCCCGACCGCCTTTGTCTCCTCAGCGGCGATGTTTACACACCACACCAGCTACTCATGAGGCCGAGTCGACCTAGGGGAGGCCCAGGACAGGTTCAGATAACAGTCACTGATGGTGTTGGCCGTGAGCGGGAATCGAACTCGGGTCGCCGGGTTTATAGAGCAGCGTAGCGCTCACCACGACACCACCGCTCCCCACACACAGACGAACGTCCACTACGGGAGACCTGGGTACAATTATAGGAACGGAATGCACCTTCACGCGAGAGAGGACAGACCCCATGGTGTTCATCTCCCGCTTTACCGCCCCGTGCAACGAGCAGTGGACATTCCACATTGGTGTGGCGGGGGCAAGTCTACCCACGGTACAAAATCACTTGACTTCCCCCACAAAGTGGTGCTATTTTTATCGACCCCCAGGGAGGGAAAGATGATGGGCCGGGTCAACCTCCCCACTCCCCCCACCCCGGATTTGAATGTGTGACCTCTCCATTGCGAGCTGCATCGCACTACCGATAAGCTGGCAGGCCCATACCAATTCTATTACCGAAGTAATAACTTTTTTCACCAGTTAAAAAATGCATATTTCGGCTAAGATAAAACACAGAGACAAAGATCCCCTGTGTAGCCATACAACGGAATGCTCACCTGGGTACAGCGATGTTAGCGAGCCCCTACGAGGAAGACAATATGGGGCTGCAAGCCTCTATGCAGCAGTGGATAGAGAATGGCTGCGTGGGTCTCGGTGGAGAGGAAGCTCCGATAGCACTCACCTCGGACGCGGACTGTGGCACTCCCGGTTTGGAGCGCAATAAGGAAACCACGACAACCACCGCCACCAGCCTGCGACACACACACACAAATACACGGGTTAATGCAATCCAGGTAGTCCTCGACTTGCGATTGAGATGCGTTATGACGACTCCATCATCGTAAGTCAAAAATATCGTAAGTCGAAGATGGCCTAGCCTACCCAGGAGTCTTAAAGAATGGTGATAATTTAGCAAAACATAGCAATTTACAGTAGCGTACTGTATCAACTATATACCGTATTATGTATTTATTAATTACAATACTGTATTGTACAGTAAAATGTAAAGTTAAAACAAGGTAAATTCTGAGCCTACCTATATGAACTGCAATTTAATAGAAAGTTTTTTTCAGGAAACAATCCTATCTGCTATAAACAAAACTTGTAACATGCATTGAACGTATCGGGGTAACACTACAATAAAATCTTACGCTGCTGCGTTTGCTTGCCACGCGAAATTTAAAATATTTTACAATGTTGTCGTATCGCCATCGTAAGATCGAAAAATCGTAAGTCGCACCATCGTAACTCGGGGACTATCTGTAAATATACACCCCATACATAGGTGTATTTCTGGTTAGGATTTCGTAAATATAAAAAATGGGTCGTTAAACCCACCACCACCAATTGGTAAGGGTTCTCGCGCAAACAAAACACGCGATTTCGTGAATAGTTCAGCAGTAAGTGGTGTTGCAGAGTAAACCCCACAAAAAGTACAATGCTCTGCATGGTAATATCCACCCCAAACATGCACCCGGTGGTCAATAAAAAGTTGCACACACGTGACCAAACACACAAATGCGCACACCTGACCAGGATTCATAACACGCATCCACAACTTTTGCGTAAAGATGTACCCGTTTGGGGAAAACAAAGTGTGCCTCGTAAGCTGGAGACTAAAAAATTAACCCGTAAAAACAAAGTTTTTCACTATAAATCCTTTATATGCGTGGCGGCTAGAGTCCTCTCGTCCTCTGGCTTGAGATGGCTGCCACCTATGGGTCAGATGAATGGCTGCCACCATTAAGCAATTGGTAATTAAATATAATTATTTTTTTCCTAAAAACTGTAAAATTTAGGAAAAAAATTTTCACGAAAATAAATTGTCACGCACAACGAGTCTGTATGCAAAATGTCAGCTCGATTGGATCACGGGAAGTGGGTTAAAAAACGACCGAAAGATTTGCACGGTCGTGAGCGCGCAAGCAAACAAGCGAGTGAACTTAATATAAAGGATTTAAAAAGGGGTGAAGTCGTCTCGCGATTACAGATAAATCCCCCCCCGGGTAAGATGCAATTAAAGGTTTAAAGAAAAAGCAAATGTAAGCGATTTAATCCGGCAGAAGCGGATAAAACACGCGCCAACACTGCACACGGAATAATAACTGGCACCAAATTCATCGACGGCTGGCAAGCGAAATTTTTTATGAATAGAATTGGTTCGTGAAACAAACATCACAAGGTTGTAGATGCAGGCGGGGAGTGAGAGACAGACCGAGAGAAAATCTCAATGGGTCACCAATGTGATGCATCGGTCAGGCGAGCTCTGGTCATTCCCGCAGCAGCGGGAGGTCATCGAGCAAGCCGGTCACTGCGTGGCACGCTTTCAGGTGCCCTCTACACTACACACGGCTAGATGCCACACTGCTATAGACGACAACTTTGACTTGACATCGAACTAAGACGGTAACCGCATCGCACGCATTCAGACGCGCTTCTGCGGCCGTCTGGAACGCTCTTCTTCCGATATTAGGAAGCCACCGTCATCGAACAGCGTCTACACTTCTAAAAAAAATACACGATTCCTTCGCACCACTTTTGGGCGTTGAAAATATGCGGTCCTTCCCCGCTGGTGCGAAAGGAATCCAACACGCGCACACAGACATCACACGGTCGTGAGATGGACACATGTCATCCAGCAGCGGATAGAGAATGGCTGATGATGTTTTTTAGCAGTGGGTGGTGACGACCCACGCTCGATTACAACTGGGTTACCCAGGGAAGCCTCAAACCAGCTCAAGGATTTATATCAGGAGGGGGCCTGCCAGTTTTACCCCGGTAATTTGGGAGTATTTTTACTTTCCAATATTTAGCAAATTTAAGACGACGATGCCCACTCACCACGGCGATGTTCAATCTGTAACCCTCCACTGCGGAGCGAAACAGCACGTGATATTTCAAATAGTCAATACTATTCTTTTTTATTACACGCTTTTATTTAACTCAATCTGTCTGTTGTCGTATCCTTTAAAATATTGTAACTCAATTTGTACCCACTTACCAATGTGCCATCGACTGCAAACTTGGTATACTTATGTCACTGATGACAAGACTATATTCTATCATAAAAAATCCAAAATATATATTTTTTACATTTTACATACTTAACTCACTCTGTCTGTTGTCGTATCCTCAAATCTTGCAACTCAATTTTAACCGTCTTCCCAACGTCGCATAGACTGCAAACTTGGTATAGGTATATCATACTGATGACAATACTATATTCTACCATAACAATTAAAAATATATATTTTTTAACAATCTTTTTTACGGCTCTAATTGTCCACGCTCAACTCACGTTGCCTGTAAATCACCACGTGGTCCCTTTCGTCACGGCAAGCCTCGGGGAGCCACGCAGAGGGGCGGGGGATATGGAAGGAGGGGGGGGGCGATGGGGGGAGGGGCAGCTCGGACAGTACATTTCATTAAAGCGTGGTTTTTAAAAAAGTATTTTTTTTATATTTGATTTTTACACAATTTGTTTTATTTCACCAGGTAAGAGAATCCCACACAGAGCTCGATCTAGGCCTTTTCCAGAAGCAACCTGGCACACCACAAGTGATAGCTCAACTTAGTGGCTTACAGCGTTGACATTTATAGCAGCAGACAAACTTTATTTGAACACGCAGACTCAAAATATACCAGCAGGCATCATCAGGGTCGGTATCCAACCCACGACCTCCTGTAGACCAGGCGAGGTAGTTAACATCTCATAGCCACCGGGGTGCGCCCACGGGATTATTCGGGGCTGCCTGGCGGATCCCGACCGCGAACCCCGCGATTATAAAATCAGTCCCCGGAAGCCAGCCCGCGACAGCGAAAATTGATTTTTGGGAAAAAATCCGTCTTTACGTCCCTCTCAAAGTTTACTAAATAAATGGGAAGTATCTTACAGAAAAAAATAAAATCTGACCGAAACGACACGACGTACATTGCATGAAGAGTTAAAAAGTAAGTTTACATTACAGTGCATTAAAAACAACCTTAAACCAATGGGGGCATTGAACAAATAAAGAGTTTACCAAACAGCACTGTCAGATAATAAATAGATAAAGCCATATTTAACTGGCGCACTGACACTGTACATACAGTGGCATTACCACGTGCGTTTAACATGGCCCACCACCATCATCATCACCATCAGCACCACCATCTTACTGAAACACCACCACCATCGCCATCATACTGAAACACCACTATCACCACCATCAAACTGAAACACCACCACCATCACCATCAACCACCATCATACTGAAACACCACCACCATCATACTGAAACACCACCACCACCCACCATCACCATCATACTGAAACACCACCACCATCCTACTGAAACAACACCACCATCATCACCACCATCACCATCATACTGAAACACCATCACCATCATACTGAAACACCACCACCATCATACTGAAACACCACCACCATCACCCACCACCATCACCCACCACCACCACCGCCATCGCTCTGCAACGCACGTGCATGTGAACGCGGGCTACGGGGTCTGAACCCGGACCTTGACAAGTGGGGAAGAAGCCGCCGCCTGCAGCAGCAGCTCCTCCTGCTGCTGCTTCTTGCTGCTGCTGCTACTGTTGCTGCTTCTGCTGCTACTGCTGTTGTTGTTGTTGCTGCTGCTGACGACTGCTGCTGCTGTTGTTGTTGCTGCTTCTGCTGCTGTTGTTGTTGTTGCTGCTGACGACTGCTGCTGCTGTTGTTGTTGTTGCTGCTGCTGGCGCTTCCCGTTCGGCCTCGCAGGCCGAGGGGCGGGTTTATAGCGGCGTCACGTGGGGAGGGAGGGGTGGGGGGAGGAGGGGGCGGGGGTGGAAGGGTGGGGGGAGGAGGGGGAGGGGTGGGGGGAGGAGGGGTGGGGGGGTGGGAGGGGTGGGGGGGAGGAGGGGGCGGGTGGAAGGGTGGGGGAGGAGGGGGGAGGGGTGGGGGAGGACGGGTGGGGGGGTGGGGGGGGTGGGGGGAGGAGGGGTGGGGGGGGTGGGAGGAGGGGGAGGTGTGGGGGGAGGGGTGGGGAGGAGGGGTGGGGGGTGGGGGGAGGGGGCGGGGTAGGAGGATGGGGTGGGGGGAGGGGGTGAGAGGGGGCGGGGTGGAGGAGGAGAGGTCAGTTCAAGTTCAGTGATTAGGTATTCCCTGTGAGCCATTCGGCTCTTGAATCGGGTGCAACCGCAACAAACAAAAATACAACATCTTGAAGTGAATATGTGACTAAGTGCAAACAGAAAATCCAAGAAAAAGACGGCAAAATATTGCAGAAAATCACCGCACACCAACGCTGTGTGCAAACATCCCAGTGGGATGCAAGTCAAACAACAACAACAACCACAGGACAACTTAGATTAAGGCCATCAGTCTAACTCTGTACTACAACAAACAAACATGGCCAACCAATACACTTTGCGTGGAGGAGGGGTGGGGGCAGGAGGGGGAGGTGGGGGGGAGGGAGGGTGAGAGGGGGTGGGGAGGAAGAGGAGGGGGGTGGTGGAGGGGGTGGGGGGATGTAGGGGGAGGGGGTTGGGGGGATGTGGGGGGGGGAGGGAATGTGTGGAGGGGGTGGAGGGGGTGGGGGATTGGGGGGGATGTGTGGGGGGAGGGGTGGGGGGATGTGGGGGGGGGATGTGGGGGTGGGTGGAGGGGTGGGAAGGATGTGGGGGGGGATGTGGGGGGATGTGGGGGGGGGGATGTGGGGGGGGGGGAGCGCGCAACGCTACGAACCCGGCGACCCGAGTTCGATTCCCGCTCACGGCCAACACCACAGTGACGATTAATCTGACTATTATTTTAAATCACTATTATTTTAAAACAATAACAACAACAACGACCGCCATTCGCCACTAAGTGGCGGTGACGTCACCACGACGCTTGTGCCAGGCTAGGTGCACCTTGAGGCCACGTGAAGTGTCGAACGCCCGCCGGCAGGAGGTCACGGGGCAGACCCAGCAGGAGCCACGGGTCGACTGACCGAGATGACCGAGATGACTGGCTGATTCACCACCTGTGCCCCCTACTGTACCAACTTGCTGTGCTTTAGCCACCCGGCGCTCCGCTCGTTGTTGTGAGCGTCGCTCCTCCGCCCTCCGTTGTTGTTGGAGGGCGACTGCCTCCAACTGCCCAGTAGCGTCCTTCATGAGCCTCCTCCACTGAGGCCGATCTTGACACCGCTGGTACCGGTCATCGACAAGTCCACTCAGCTCCACGTCCTCCTGTACCACATCACTCCATCTCTTCTCTAGCCGTGCCGCGCCCGTCCTAGCCCCCTCGATCCGGCCGAACAAAAGCTGTTTAGGCATGCGGTGGCTGGGCATGCGGGCTACATGGCCCAGCCAACGCAGCCTTGCCTGCCGGAGCCACACACACCATCACTCACAAACACACAAACACTGCTACACACACATTGCTACACACACACCCTCACTCACACACACACAGTCAATGCTGCTGTCTTATGAATATCGAGACTTTGCACTTTGGACACAATGTGAACATCGTTTCGATACACTGCGTATTTACATACCGTGTACTCGACAAAGCTCACTCTCATATCGATTGCTGCACAGATCATTCACAGTATATATATGCGTGTGTTCATACATCCCATGCAAATATGCACAGATTGTTATTTGGATTGTTGTTAAAACGTTACTTGGTTGTCATTTGGATTCGTTCGTATGTTTCGTGATTTTTTTGTCTTTAATTGTTGCTGTGTATTCGTTAGACATTCTATTGCAATGTTCAGCTTCACTGTGTATGCGACCAATACACTTTGACTGATTGAATACGGAACATCTGTGGGAGGGGGTGAAATAGCTTCATATCTCACCAGATTTCTCCAGGATAAATTAAGATTCTGATTCCGGATAGAGTCACACAAATCTTGCTCTGGTACACACCAAACAAACCATTCCCTCATCCCTCCAAACAGCGAGGGCCATACAAAATTATCAACTTAAAAATTAGCCCGTGAAATCTGCTCAAACGTGTAATGAACTCGCCCCTAATGCGACGCTGGAACTGCTTCTCTTTGGCGAGGCGTGATGATGTTCGCTGCTTTTCCAGGTTTGCTCCGAGATTTCTTGAATTTCGAGTACCGCCCCGGTTGCCTTGGCAGGGCCAGACACAAATGATTTCGCGGCCCGGACTTTCCCCACCACGGTGATTGATAACGTGCAGCTACAGCGGGCCCCACGTGTCACTCGTTAGGAATTGCTTCGTTTCCTTTGCCAAACTCCTCCTTGGCATACGTCTGAGCCATACAAAAAATGTCATACTGGTAGGAACCTCCTGGTCACACCAACCCACAGGGGATTATTGTGTCCGTCCGTCGTGCAGGGAAGGCTGGGTGGGGAGGGGAGGGTGGGGAGGGATAGGGTGGGGAGGGGAGGGTGGGGAGGGGCTGCTGGGGAGGGTGGGGAGGGCTGGGTGGGAGGGGAGGGTGGGGAGGGGCTGGGTGGGTGGGGTGGGTAGGCCTCGGCAAGTAAGGTAAAAGTACTACTAATCACATACCTGCATTTCCCATATCCCCTCCCTTTGATGCTGCTAATCCTGCATAATGCACGGGCATAAGTAGTACTAATCACATACCTGCATTTCCCATAAATATGCTAAATTCCTCTTGATACGCAAATTATTTTGTCAAGGCGCCCTTCCCCCCCCTTCCAACCCAGATTAAATATACGCTCCAAGCACGGTGCTGTTTCATTCAGATGCTGTCTCCCCGACAGACCTGGTCTTCACCTGAGGACGGCTGCTTGCGTTGTGGCCGAAACGTCGTGAGAAATTATTTGATTATGTTTTATTTTTATTATTTTATTATTTCCATTCTACGTGACTTTACCGAAAGAACCATAACATCCTCGCCCAGTCGTCCTTGGTCGATGGCGATCTCATCAACAACTGATCAAGTTCGTCAGTGCTATCGTCCTTGAAGGACGACAGGCAATAAGATCCTGCGCCGCTCCAGCCCAGTTAGACGGAACCTTCGGCAGCCGGCCGTGACCCACGAGTACAAGCACGGGACTTGATGAAGAGCGACGTTGACAGCGACTGACGAACGCCGTGAAACTCCCGCCCGGCTGCGCTATTCGCACGTTCACAGGGAGTTGACGTCGCCGCGCTCCAAGTAGTCGCAGGCCACCGTCTTCTCCGGAATATAAAACACCCCCCCCAACACACCAGTTTCCTGCTGCTCATTGTGGTGGAAAATCCACATTCTATGGACGGGAGCGGAGGTCCCCACCTTAAGGAACAACCGCCTGTAGACTTCACACCAAAAAGTTGGTGCTCGGTTTATCGACCCCCCGGGAGGGATGATGGTGGGGGCCGGGGGGGGGGGGGGGGGGGGGAGGGGGGGAGTCTACGCCCACAAATAGGGATATTGAAACTCGTGACCTCTGAGACTGAGGGCCTCACTCTGCCGCCCGGTGCTTCAGGATGTAGGCGTCATGCCGCAAGACGTTCAGGATGTAGGCGTTCATGCGAAAGACGTTCAGGGGGTAGGCGTTCATGATGCTAGGTGCTGCACGCTGGCGGAGGGGGGTGGAACGTGCCCCCCCCCCAATGATCCGATCGAAATCCCTAATTTCGATCGGATCATTGGGGTTTATTAGTAATAAATCAGCATTTTGCGACCCCCACTGCCACTGTAGCATATTACTACGTGCCAGGGACTCGATGAGATGATAGGACAATAGTCTGAGTCCATAATTGTCAATAAGTAAGGGCAAAGCGGCTATAAGTGACTCACAGAATTGTGCGCAGTTGCGTGTCCAGCCACGACTTCCCTGGAGGCGTCAGCAGCTGCAGCGAGCGCGATGCCGATCACACGACGCCGTTCCAATTCCACCCTCAATCGATGGCCGCGCCATCGCCGCACACGCGTCGAATGAAAACCAAGGGACAAGTCGTCACTTGCTAACAACTCCTCTATCATTTCTCATTGCTGGAGGGGCTGTCCCCCCCTCTACCTGAAAATCCTGGCTCCACCATTGGATGTGCAGGAGCTAAGCGTTGAGTTCGATATTCATCAGCGAGACCTTCAAGAGATTGACGTTCAAGAGCGAGATGTCAATGTCGAGGTCTTCTCACCGCGACGAGAGGGCGTCACGAGTTGAGAGTCGGTGTCGTTTTGCCGTTCCTCCTCCGCCGAAGGAGCGCGCACTCCGCTCAACCGCATCGTGCCAACACCAGCGACATCGTCTCACCGCGACCACCGTCACCGCCACCTTTATTTGCACCAAATACGTTGCGAGGAAACGACACGATCTGACGACGGGGACTGAGAAAGAAGAACAAGACGCAGGAGCGATTTCAAATCGCCGCGACGAAACAAATCAAGGAGATCCGTACGTGACCACCGGCAGGAAAAAAAAACTAAACTAAAAACCGCGAGCCAAAGAAGAGTTGTCAAGGTGGGACACGAAGGCCACCCAACAAAAACGCTACAAAATATAAACACGAGAAGAACCACGGACGCCACGCGCAGAGCGAGCGACGCACGCACGCTGGGAAAGCGGACGTCACCGCCCGAGGGCTTGGGTAAACCCCCTGCGATTCGAACCGTCCACCGACACCTCTCTTTCCACTGGCGCACCCGAGCCGTGCCGGTGCCGTGCCAAGCCAGCCCGGCACATTCACACAAAGAAGACAAAGATCCCCCCCCGTGTAGCCTTAACCGACTGTTGGGGCGAGTAACACCTGTGAAGCCCGCAGCGGCACGCGAAGGGGGAGGGTGGCCAGCACCACGCCCGACCACCTTCGTCTCCCGAGTGGCGATGATTTT